TGTCACCATAACAGGGATACAGAGGGAATCTTCCAATGGGGGCAGATGATCCTTTATGACAAAGAGAAATAATTCTTATATGCAATACTAATGGTTAAAATTACAATATTAAGTGCTTATATGCTAATGTTAGGCTATTTATACAACAGGTTCTCCTTGGTAGAAATTACTGTGAGATGTTTTAGATCATACCTGTCAAATGTCCTTGTCTTGTCAGGATCTCCACACATTGAAACCTAACTCCAGGTTTCATTTAACCTTTAATAGTTTGTTCGGACCAGGATGTCAGCACTAAACAGTCTATAGCATCAGCTACATACAGTATACAGCATTGTGTACCTGTAGTGGTAACTGGCACTTTCCATTCCTGAAACAAACTATTTAAGGTTAAATGAAACCTAGAGTTAGGATTTAAAGTGGTATTAAACCCAAATGTAATATATTGCAGTCTGTCAATCATTTTATGTGGTGGCTGCATTAGTTTTCTTTTTCCTAGGCTTCTTTATGTTTGCACCTGATGATCTGGCCAATAACATACCTCCTGTATTAGAGTGCCTCTACTATGGATGAAGGAGTACAGGGGGCACCTCTGGACAGCAGCATTGTCAATATGAGGGAAAGGAAGTATGAGATGGGCTAGACAATTTAGATACACTAATAAAATTGAAGCCAAACTAAAGCCAAATCCCCTTTCAGACTCCGTCCCGATCAGTAGGGGATCCGCTCACAGATCCCTTGCAGATCGGAGCAGAGCAGTCACGTGACATCGTCCATGTCCGCCAAGTTACTGCAGAGTGGACAAAGACAGAGCCCACTCTGCTCTATGGGTGGCCAGATGTAAGCAGACTCTGCTCTCTGTTTACACCTGCCTACCCTCTGATCTGCCTACACAAGAGGACGGATCCCTTTTTCTTTTTTTTTTTTTTTTTTTTTTAGCAGACTGGATCAGACACACATATTGGCAGATGTAATCAGAAACAAATCCATTTACACCCACCTGTCCAAGGGAGTTAAAGCACCATCAGATCAGGTCTGCATGACAATCTGACAGGCAAACCTGATATGACCCACCATGTAAAATGGACCTTACACTTTATAAACAGTTACAGTAAACGTTTTTTTTTTTTTTTTCTTTTGGGATAATCGTTTTACATAAATGAAAGATGATTGTAAGCATCCCTGTCAGTGCTAAATGGTTTGTTTCAGCCCTGTAACTGTTAAGATCTTCAAGAGAGCTTGTTCTTTTGGAAAACAATAGACTTGCTTACTTATAAATGTTGGCTGTTGGGTTTAATACCTCTTTAGCACCTTTACCCCACAGTAATCCATAAGTTATGGCAGCAAACAGCTGAGCTTTAACACACACAACATGCTGCACATTTGCTTCAATGGGCAAGCAATGTTTTATGTTCTGAGAGAGCGCTCCTTGCATGCTTCTAGCACAAAGACCAAGGTGCTGAAAACAGATCTCGGTCCTGAGTAAACATCGGTAGCAGGCGGACCAGCTTCTAATCATGTGACCATTGCGACAGCCAATTACAAGGATCACATGATCGCTGATCCTTCAGGCACCCCTGGGTGTTAAAAACTTTTAAAGGCAATGCCAGGGCGGGTGAGAAGGGGTTAATTTCTCCACTTCATAATCCTTACTTTTACTTTGTAACTTTTCTAAAGAAATGTTTAAAACATTTCACCAAATAAAGAGGATTGTTGTGTCCTTTATAAGTTATGTGTCCCAGTAAGTAGGTTTCATCTTCTGTTCTGTAGACCCCACAGAAAGTTACAGTAAATCAAAAGCGAAGGAGATTATTTATTTTCACTTCCTGTTGGGTTTCCAGAGCAGGAAGTGAAAGCTCCTTACTGTGATACAATCACTAAAAAAGATTTCTTTCCTGGTTAAAAAACGTAAAAAAGAAAAAAGCTTTAGATATACTTTAAGTTTTTTGATGGTCAAAATGCCTTTTTTTGCCTATAAGGCAGTGAAAACAGCTGTGGTGATGTTCAGTGGCTGCCATTAGTCTTCTGAGCCCTTTAACTAAAGGAGTCACAATGATTTGATGAATTCTTATTGGCTGAGAGGTCTTGCGGAATTTGCATATCAAAATTACTCTATATACTCCTTCACTCAGTAAGACTGACGGAATGTCTATAGGCAGTGACACCAGTTCTTCCATTTAGCAGATGGAGCAGGGAAAGAAGTCTGTGTTGGTGTATGGGGGGTGTAAAATCTAGCTTGAAATGGAAACCGCTATAGAAAATACATAAAAGTCAGTAGAGGCAAAACACACCTTGGAAGAACACCTTCTACAAGCACTTTACTTAAAGCCTAAATTCAGGTTTATTTTCACTCCAAACTGGCCCAAATTAACTAAATTTCCATATCTAAGTGATGCAGCCACTGTCAGCTCAGTATCATCAGCCACATACAGTATGCAGCGCTGTGTTCTGACAGCAGTATGGGGACTTCCCATCTGCTGCCAGAACAAAATTGAGTTGGGCTGAGTAATTCTCAGCTTATCATAGAAAGCCTTGTATTTTTATGAATGACTCAAGGCTTATTTTGATTGGTTGAGGAGAAAATTATGTTGTCATCCACCTGCCACTCCACCTCAACTACTCGGAGGGAGCCTAGTAATGTGTTAAAAAGTCCTCACACTGAGGAAGACAGGGGGGCACAACTGACAAGGTCTGCTACTGACTGCTTAATATCAGAGCACTGGACTGCACAAACATATTTAGATAGCCTACACCAGCCTCTCAACCAGGGTGTTCAAGCACCCTGGGGTACCTTGAGGTTTCTTCGGGGGGTGCCTTGGCAAAATGTCTATAAATTGCTCAATATTTGTACACAAGTCAGCGGGTGGAACAATCCTGCCTTTTAGTTACACAAAGCCACAGGTTTTCATTGTACACAGTTACGACCTTCTAGCCGCCAGCATCCTGACAACCAATTAAATCATCAGTTGATAAGGAGGATGTCAGCTGCCTGCACAGCATCCTAGTTTGACCCTCCCCTGCCCCTCTCCATCAGTGTGGGGGTCACATCAGCTCAGTGATGGAGAAGAACTGAGGGAGAAGAGAAACACTGGAATAATAGTCAGTACCAGTGTGCAATTGTGTGTTTGCTGTGGAAGAATAAATCACCTCTAATGTTGGGTGTCCTACATGTGTGGATGTTGCTGCGTTATAGAAAACTATTGAAATAGTTTTTCACATTTTAGAATGGGGTGCCTAGGGACTATCCATAATTTTAAAGGGTGCCTCAGGACTATCCATAATTTTAAAGGGTGCCTTGACTGAAAAAAGGTTGAGAAATACTGACCTACACAACTGGAGTAAAAAGGAACTGAAATGTAGGACTACGAAAATAGAGGCCGTGAGAGATGCAAAGCTTGCAAGTAAAAAAAAAACAAGCCTGCTACACCATGTTTAATAATTTTCACTTTCCAGGTTCCATTTAAAGCAAGACCATCATTTGCATGTGTAAGAAACTGCTATAACTTAGCAGGCTTGTCATTATTCATTTACTGGTCTCTGTATACAAGTTTCCATCCTCCAACTTAAGCACCCTTGCACATCCACTGACCAATGTGGGCACCCCAATGACCTCATAAGTGGTGCATTGCAGGATGTGGGCACAGGAAGGAAGGAAACCCATACCGAAAGAAATACAGAGCAACTCTCCCTCATGTCTCCTGACAAATGCTGGTTGCCTGCCTGTCACACTTACTTCCATACAAGTATGCAGATCAGTAGTTGTGACCTCACTGAATTTGGTCATACTGGTTGCAGACCAGTGACCCAGTACTGGAACCAGAGAGGGCCAGGTAAGTAGCATTTTCTGATGGAGTTCAGAAATGGTAGTTTACACTTAACTTGAAGTACAGGCTCTCAATTTAAGAGCATCTGTCTTCCTAAACACAGAGGAGTACAAGAAACCTCAGCAATGCAAATTATGTCAGAGCAGCAAAAAGGTAACTGGTCACTACTGGATATTGCACATTTCTCTTCGCCTTGCTCAAAAAAAAAGACTATCCATCCTCTGGGAGGTTGTAATGATATTAAAGTGCCTTGTTGTGGCAGAACTGGTGACAAGTGTTTCTGCTGATTGGCCCATTGAAAGCATTGGGGCAGAAGGGGGCAGTAATTATGTCTTATATTCACATTAGTGATGCAGAATATTGCACCTGTCACATTTGTTGGCTCTTCATTAATCATATCCCAATGAAGGGATGTTTCTTCACATACACCTCCACTTAAAAACAAAAACTGGTCACCTTTTAATGGTTAACTGGGCTGAGACCTTTTTCAGAAAGATTCCTGACTCTGCCCTCTTTCTGCAGCCAGCTAAAGAAGTCACATGCCTCCCACTGCACTCTCCATAGTAGAGATAAATTCAGCAAGCTCGTAATGCTACATAGGGAGCGAAGCTGAGAAACCGACTAGTGAGCTGAAGGAAACTAGACCAGCCTTCCCCAAGGCTGAAATACCATAACCACAATGATGGTTTTATTCTATAAAGTACCCACTGACCAAAGAGCCACCAAATTATGGGAGTTTTTTGTTCATAAATAAGACACTGTGTGAATTGGTAGTCTGAAACCCATTGAAGTTAGCTAAAAGATAGAAGTTGTGTTAGACCTGAAGAAAGAAAAATGCTTTAAAAAAAAAACAAACAAAAAACACAACTGTTCTTTCGGCCTATAGTAACCAATCATATTGTCCCTTTCAAATTATTATTACAAAAGGGTAGAAAAGGTGATTGGTTGCTACAGGGAGCAAGTACAGTCTTTTTCTGAAGCTTTGATTCACAAAGTCCAATAATACTGGTGAATTTCTGCTCATGCTGGAATGTCTGGCGGCCAGATCTGTGTTGCTACATTTAATGTGTAGAGAGATGTCCACAAGTCCAAAAGTTTCTGCTCTCTAAGCTAGGATGCCGGCTAAGTTTCAACAAGCTTCCTCGGATATATAACACGAAAAAGGTCGGAGATGCCGAGTTAAGCTTTCTGAGCCAGTAAAGTGGTCAGTCTGATTTTCCCATCCATTGAGGCTGTTAGGCATGTGCCACATTCCACTGCCGTGCTCCAGTCCACCGTCACAACAGGGGCCCTGTGTCCGCCCAGAGACAGGCAGTTCTCTAATGTACTACCGTCACTGTTAAGCTGCAGCAGAATGAAAATAAATGACAAGAATTAGTTTCCGATTTACCTGCTTAAATTTCATACTTTTTATCCTAAAAGTGGACTGTTAAGGAGCTTTACAATTCACATGCATAATAAAACACAATTCTGACATTTCACAGTATCAATACAGGTGTACCTCAGTTTACAAACGTCTCGGTTAATGTAATTTTTGGTTTATGAATGAAAATCCATTAAAAATAATGCCTTGGTTTACTCATTTTTTCCAAATTGTTTTCGCAATATGAAGTGTATGTCAGTGCTGATTTTAAAATGTAATTGCCGGCTTTTTTTTTCCTTCACTATACCTCACAAAATTAGCTGTCACTTTCCCCAGAGTTAAGAAACTAAAAGGAAAAATTGTTTCTTTTACCTCTGGGAAATAAACTAAAAAGGAAACTTTCTTTTTGCTGGGGGGAAAGTGACAGCTGAATCTCTGCGCTATAGTGAAGGAAAAAAAACAAAGTGGTAATTACATTTAAAAACCGGCACCATAATAAAATAAAATAAAAAAAAAACCCCTGCGTGGAGTCCCCCCTCTCATCCATACCAAGCCCTTTGGGTCTTGGATTTTGAGGGGAACTCCCACGCTGGAAAAAACAAAACAAAAAAAAAACAAAAGATGTGGCGCGCGCCACCCCCCCCGAACCACATCAACACCCCCCCCAAAGCAGCCTTCTATGCTAACGCGTTTCAGGAGACGTACTCCCTTCTTCAGAAGAAGGGAGTATGTCTCCTGAAACTCATTAGCCTACCTCACCAAGGGTTTCACCACGGTAATGCATGAAGAGAGTGTGCCCTGTTTTGCTTTTGTTCACCAGTATCAAGATTTCCCGATCTTCTAAGGGCTGCACCTCAGCCAATGACAGTTACAGTAATCCTAGTCTGCATGAACATTTGAGCACTGATTTCGTTTGTTTATTCATACATACACAAACAGCAGCTAAAATAAGTATTGAACACGCCACCATTTTTCTCAGTAAATATATTTCTAAAGGTGCTATTGACATGAAATGTTTAGAAATATAATTTAATGAGAAAAATGGTGACGACGTGTTTAAATACTTATTTTACCTGCTGTATATAAAACATGATTCTGCGCAGCTGGCCGGCACTAACAGTATGTGTACAGTGTGCGGTTGGCAAGCGGTTAATTCCTTCCTTCCTTTGAATTCATGTTCATACATCGAATACTGGTCTAAAGGGTAAAAGACTTTGTTCTTTTCATCGTTTTAAAGCTGAATTCCAGTTGCTTACCCTGATTCACTGCACACTATGAACTTTTCACACTAGAAGCTGCAGCAAGTCAGACAGAGCCCACCTTATTTCCTGGCTGCAAGACATCCAGCATTATCTAGCACTTTTGTCCAGCCTGACTGTACCTGACCTTTCATTCATTAGGTTTCAATTTTCAATCATGATGGGTCAGGGTCACTTGTGTTTTTTTATGTAGGAACATCTGCATGCAAATACAGTCACTGGAGGAAAACCCACTTCTCCAGACTGACATTCACCCCTCAATTCATTTTGAGAATTTAGCTCCTCCCAAGGGGGCAGTCCACTGCCTACATTAGGTCTGAGGAGCATACTGAGGCAGGGTGCTGTGGTGCTTTTAGACGTACAGCACTTAGCTATTCCCCCCCACTAGCCATGTTCAGCTTGCATTGCATAGAAAAGCAGATGAGCATCACAGAGTCTAAAATAAGGTATGTAATGAACAAGGGTAAAGGGAAAAGTTATATTAAATTAAAAAAAAAAAAAAAATCAATAGTATGTTGAGGGGAAGGAGAGGGGAGAATCAGGGAAATCAAAATATATGCAGAATAAACTTCAGCTTTAAACATTGTAGATTGAAATTGACAATTATGACATATAAAGCACCAGGATGTCACAAAAGAGAGAACGTGATAAAAGGGAATCACCTTATAAATAACTCCTCCATTGCTCGAGCAAGTGAGCATGTATCTGCCTTCTGAATCAAAAGCGAAGAGCCTGCCCCTGGGGAACTGAACTTGCTTGTAGCCGCTGTAACCAGAGAGCATAAAGGGGCCGGTGGCATCAGATGGCAGTGAATATTCTGACACTTTCTGACCACTCTTGTGAATATTCCACTGGATGAACTGGAAGGCAAAAAAAAAAAAAAAAAAAAGAGGGGGTGGGGGGAGTATAAAACAGAGGCATAGGTAGTACGGCCACACATTCTGTGTTATGCACCATACAGCTCTCATAGCTCACACTGGAATACTCACCTTCCCATCTTCTCCGATGCTGTACACGGCATTCTCATCATAGCTGAAGTCAACGGAATAAACTTCCCCCTTATGCGCCTTCCAGCTCATGGCACACTGATGCTGCTGCATGTCTATGGGAAGAAAGACAGAAAATCACAATAAGCCTGCAACACAAAGCACACCAGAACCATTAGGGGTCATTCAGAAATACAGTATCTATTGCATTGTAATGAGATAACGAGCACAAATTAACGAATGTTATTATGCGTGTAAAAAAACAAGTTGCATTAAAGCTGAATTCAAGGTTGCACCTGTCCGCACACCCCTTCTCCTAATAATTGCTAGCATAAAAAACAAAAAAATCCCTACCTAAAATGCCCCTTTTACTCACCTATGCCCATGGTCACATGACATTTTGGTCCCAAGTCTATTCTTCTGCCTACAGAAGGTGTGCTCACTGCCTGCATGATGTGCACAATCCCTTTTGGCTGCTCACCACCAGTCTTTTCTCAGGAACCAAAAACATCTACACCAGGGTTCCTCAAACTTTTTAAACGGGGCCAGTTCACGGACCTTCACACTGTTCAGGGGGCCGGACTATAGTTTAAAAAAAAAAATATCAATTCCTGTGCACACCGAACATATCTTATTTGTAATGCAAAAAAAAACAGGAAAAAAAAAAAAACAAAACAATATTTAAAATGCACTGTACACCAACACAATGGAGACCGCAATGAACTATACAATATAACGCACTGGGCACCGCAATCCATTGTACACTGCAATGCATTGAACACTAACGCACTGGACAACGCAATGTACTGTACACTGTAATGCCACTGTACACCGCAATGCACTGCACACCGCACTAACATTAATGCACTGGACACTGCAATGCACTATACCTGCTGTACTCTCCTCCTCTCCTGTTACTCCTCTGGCTGCAGCAGGTGAAATCAGGGACTTCCAGGCTGCCACTCATTGGGTCCTCGTGGCCAAGGACCCAGTGAGCAGCCTAGCTATTCGTCATCCATTTTTTTTCTTCCCAATTTTTTTTTTCTCCGTTCGGCTGGCCCGACGGGCCAGATAAATGACTTTGGCGGGCCATATCCGGCCTGCGGGCCATAGTTTAAGGACCCCTGGTCTACAGCATGAGGGGGTCAGTTGATGCTTTGTACTCAGAAATGGTGCCGTAAAGGAACCTGGACAGCGGACTCTTCAAAAGCAGGATTTAAGGCAGCACATTCAATTAATTCAACATGTATCGTTTTAGGCTGAGTGTGGGAGTTTTTTTTGGATTCCCCAGAGTTAGGTGAAATCTCCACTTACCAACAGCGCATAGTAGAGAGTTACCATCCATTAAGAAGGCTTAAAGTGTTACTAAACCCAGGACCCTGCATTCACTATATCTGGTCTCCCACAGTACATAGGACATGGAAATGCTATTATTTTAGTAAATAGAAACTGCTAAATACCTTTTCTCATCAGCAGTTATAGCAGTCTTGTGACTTCTATCAGTGTTCAGCCCAGCACCAGCTAAAGCTTGTAGGAGGAGTTTTCTTTCTTCTCTAGAAGGATGCAAAACCCCTGACGTCTGTCTGACCAGTGCGGATTGGCCCTGTGCTGATCACATGCACTCTCCCAAGAAAAGAAAAACCCTCTCTAGCAACACACACCAAACTGAGCATGTGCAAATGCCCACTCTGTCTTATCAGGAGATAAGAAGTGGTTGCTTAAAAAAGGGGAGGAAGAGTAGAAAGGATCAAACAAGCCTTTTTACACAATGCAGAGGATTAACCCCTTAGGTTCCATAGTGAGTATAACAAGCATGCTTTACTGCATATACAGACTGATTTTACTGTTGTGGGTTTAGTAACACTTTAAAAATGTTTTTACAACATACCAAACAACCTGATAACGCCATCTGCAGCCCCGGTCACAAGTAAGTTGCCATTGTGATTGAATGATGTGCAGTTCACAGCGATGGGCGAAGGTTCCAAGGAGAACTGAAGCTGGAGGGAAAATGGAATACATGCTTAGTGTATGACTGAATGGAGATTCCCACCTGCACCTAGTAAAATTTGGCACTGTGGCACAAACTAAAGGGAACAACTTAGGTCTCACTAACCTGTCCATTACATTCTTATGTTTAATTAGGTCTAGTCTGCTGTGTTTTATGGCAAGACCTGTGATGCTGTCATTCTCTCCAGAGAACAATCTCCAGATTGTATGCATCTGAGACAGGACAGTCCATTTAACCATAGGTTCACACCTAAGCGTTTTCTGCAGTGTTTTGCAGAAACGCAGTACAGTCCATTTAACATGGATTTCCTATGGGATATGCTCACATCTGAGCGTTTTCACCCGGTGCGTTTTTTGGAAAGGATCAGGGACTTTTTTGAATGCAAAAAGGTGCATTTTTGGTTCTATAGACTTCATTGGAAACGCTGCAGAAAAGCACATATTGTGCTTTTTGCTGCATTTTACATTTTAAATCTGCCTAGCAACAAACAAAAAAAAAATTTAAAAAAAAAAAAAAAAAAACTCAATGCAAAACGCAATGCAGAAATGGCTCAAAACGAAACCTGCATAGGTGTGAACGTAGCCTAATGTGGCTTAAAGGATAGCAACAGCATAAAATGTAGCTGCTGCCTCTCATTCCCATCTGTTAAGCAACTGATTGTCAGTGGGCACTGAGGTTATCTGAGTTGTTTCCAGATTATGTGGTCACTGTGTCAGCCTTGACACAGTAATGCAATTCAGGCTGCAAGCCTCACTTAAAAAAAAAACAAAAAAGAACGTTAAAGCCTTCAGCCTACAGATGAACACTGCCACCTTCATGCATCTGTGGTGCCATCTTTTTAAAGCACAACTAAATGCTCTACTGTCAGTCTAAAGAAGTAGCACATCCAGTTACTATGTGATGCACAGGCCACATAAATAAAAAAAACTTCCTTTTTCATCTCGAAAACAAATCCTCCATTTTCATCTCACATTCTTCCCACATCAAGAAGCTCACAGTGGGAAGGTTTCAGCAACACAAGCAGCAGTGGACAGGACTAGATGCGGCCAGGTGCTGATTTACAAGTCATATGTTTTTTTAATTTCACTGTAGTGCAAGAAGGCACAGCCTATATGAAGGTGACATCTCTGCTCTGAATTCAGAAACAGTGCAGCATCATTGCCACACCATCACAGGGCACAGCATTAGGTGGACTTCACCGGCAGGATCAGCCGGTATTTATGAGAAGAAAACTGTCAATTAAATTCTTTAGCGTGTATTTTTACAATTTACAATAAGTGCTGCAGCAAATAATTTTTTAATGTAGGCCATAACTCTACTTTATTTGGGAATTGTCAGATACAGTTGCATTCTTACATAATAATTAAAATATTTTTTTTTCTTTAAAAGTAGTTTTTTTTTTACCTTCATGCAGGAAGTGCATTAGGTAGTAGTATCACCCCCCCTCACCCTCCCAGTATACTTACCTGACCCCGATCACAATTCAGATCTTAATCCAGTGCTGTACCTGCAAAATCCATTACATTGGAGCCAATTGAGAGACATAGAAAGCTGTTAACCTTCGGCTTAAATTGCCATATACAAGATTAGACACTGGCAAAAAACAAAAACTGAGGACCACCCCAAGACCACCCTTCCTGCTATCAGCTATTTTCTCTCTCATCCATTGAATGATATTGCAAGTAATTTACCTTTGAGACATCCAAAAGCAGTTCAACTGAGGGGTGGGCAACACAGAAAACAAATGTCAACAGGTCCAAAAAAAAAAAATAAATAAATAAAAAGAGCTCCCTAAGGCCCTTAAGCCCAAGAAAGTTGGAATCAGAGGCTGCAAAGTCCATATGGTAAAATATGTGAACAGACGGCCTTGCAAATCTGGGAAACGGTTGCTTGATCCCGAAAAGCCCAAAAAGCACTCACAATTCTAGTAGATGGTACCTTAACAGGAAAGGTAGGAATCCGACCCTTGAGGCCATAAGCTTGGATGATGATCTACCCGCGTCACCTACACAAGATGAACGAGGAACCAATGTACCCATTTAGGTACATCTATGAGGAAAAAAATGGAATCAGCCTTCCTGGAAAAAAAGTACTGGCTGAAAGACTCTCAGAGCCTAAACCCCATCCAGACGATAGAGGGAAAGTTCCTTTCAGTGAACTAGACCCAGACAGGACAGAAGAAAGATGTCCTGGTTGAGGGGAAAAGCACAAACTACCTTAGACAAGAAGGAAGTCCTGAGCCTTAACACCACCTTGTTCCCATGCAAAACACAAAAAATCCACCATTCCAGGTCGCTCGCAGAGGTGATGGCTACACGAAAAAATTACCTTATTGAGAATATAAAGAAAAAATGTCCCTAATGGGTTCTAAATGGTGGTTTCTGGAGTGCAGATAGAATCACGTTCAGATCCCATAGTCATAGAAATGCAGACTTCCCCCGTACAAAGGTCTTTTAAGGAAAGAGTGAGAGACCAATGGGTTCTGAAGCCGAAGAGAAAGGGCAGAAATCTGCACCTTGATATAGTGCTTATTCCAAAATGTTGGTCCAGACACAGCTACAGGAAGAGGATTCGCTCTGCACAAAAACATGTGGGGTGGAAACCCTTCAACTTTATGTGAATTAAGCCTTCTATGTCCAGTGATAAACTTTGCAAGATTTCCTAGCTTTTATCATCGTAGGAATCACAGACTCCGAGATACCCTTGTCCCTCAGATCCTGGGCTTCAACAGCCATGCCATTAAATTCAGCGATGCAGGATGGCAAATTGTTTTTTGAGACGCAAGATCCCAACTCTCCAGCAGAGCCAACGGAGCATCAGCCAGAAGTCTGAACAGGTCAACATACAACATCCATATGGGCCAGTCCGGAGCAATGATGTTCAACAAATGCCTTCTAACTCAATCCTGCAGAGCAGACAATGAAGTTTCAGGGGAGGAAAGGCAGAGATCAGCGTGTACTGATCCTACAGAGTCATCACAGCATCCACTGCCTCCGCTAAAGGTTTCCTGCCTGTAACTGGAGACAAAAGTGTAGAGTTTGCTGTTGAACCTCTAGGCCAGAAGTCCACATCCAACCTCCCCCCAACTACAACACAGGTCCTGGAAAACCTTTGGGTGTAGGGACAACTCCCCTGGGTCCAGGCACTGCCAGCTAAGTAATTCTGCCTGCCAACTGTCTACGTCTGGAATGTACATGGCTGACAAGTCTTAACACGAAGCTTTGCCCAGGGCAGGATCTGCTCTTCTCCTCTTGCTGCAGTGAGACTTCTAGTTCCTCCATGATGGTTGACGTATCCCTGGTTCCACAGCACCTGAAGTTTCGAGATGGTGACTGGAAGACAAGACTTCAACAACCAAGTGCCCTGCAATGAGGCTGCAGAAAAAAATACAGACATTCATCCTCCTAGGACACAAAAATACAAAAAATGAGGTAGTAGGGGAGCTGTGCTGGTCTGTTTTATTTTTTGTTTGCCAATTTCCAATTCCCCTGTAGGTGGCAGTACAAACCCAAAGGTTAACTACCTCCTGTGTCCTTTAATGGACAAGAAATATCTCGCTGGACTTTCACTTGTCTAAACAGTTCAAGTGACAGTAGGAAGATAGCCATACCTGTTGTTTCATGGTTTTTGTGTCCCACAGCAGTAACCTCCCTGGCACTTGGTTGATCCCATTCTCCCCTAAACCAGGGACTGATGGTTCTGTTTGAGTAGGTGAGCATGCTGCTGCTGCCGAACATACAAAGGAAGTCCCGCTGGGGTTGCACGCCAGAGATAGGATTCTGAGGAGGCAAATATTAAACATTTGTTTGGCAAGGATTCTGATATATGTACATCAAACCTTTACATAGAAACCTGTGTACGGATGGTAACATTGCAACACCATGTACATCAGTGATGTCATTCCCTCCGTGTGACCCAAACTAAACAGACAGGTGCCACTCGTGGCTCACTGGATCCTCCTATGTAGCAACTGCTTGAGTTCAGACAAGGACAGGGCTCACCCGAGCTCTAGACATCTAATGGAAAAAGAAAAAAGTCCTGGAAGTTGCACATCTCTACAAAACCTTATATGAAGGTGCATGACAGCCTCAGCACGGGATCCAACCAGGCCACACGCCCAACGCATTTTGCCCTGCCCATGGAGCTTAGTCATGGGGTTTTGTAGAGACGCGACTTCCTGGACTTTTCCGTTTTACATTAGATGTCATTCCCTCTGTCATTTGACAGTGCTCTGGCCTAGTGATGTACTGCTAGACCCCAGCATTATCACAAGGCAGAAGATCACATGCTCCATTCATAACTTGAAGCACTGCGTGTTTTCCGTGGCTGAGGCAGAGTAAGTATAAGGAAACTACTGGTAAAATGAATGAGTGAGCATCAGTGGGTCGGGACACTTTGCAGACACAAACATTGTCCTCCAGTATCAAATAACTCAAAAGTGTAGAGCAAAGAGGTGAGGTTACAAACTACATAATATATTAATGGCACTAACCTCGGCATATCATCAACAATACTGATCTCACACAAGTTCTTCTTTGCTTCTGTGTCATACAGGCGGACGGTACCAACCTCGCTGCCCAGTAAGAGCTGCATCAGAGAAGCAGAAGTACAATTTTACATAAAGATATGGATCACCATTATTGCTAAAAGATGGGCCAAAAATAGGCATAGATTCTACATTTACCATCAAAAAGACACATTCCACTGAAACACTAATTGAATATTATAAAGAAACAATTTTCAGATATTTAAAAAGTACCTTACTAGAAGGACCGTAACTTGCTCAAAATATTGACACTTATAAAACATACCTATAGTGTTAATAGGTGCATTTGAGAAGCGTTTAATGAGCATTAAAAACACTTCCCCAAACATCTTAGGTGTGCTTGTGGCGCAGTTGATGTTAAAACAGCACCAAAAATGCCTATTACTGTAATGTACTAAATGTGCCACAAACGCACACCGGCACGTATCCATTAGAGATGAGCGAAGAAATGAAAAATTCGATTCGGCTGATTCGGCGAATTCCAGTGTGAAATTCGATTCGATGCGAATTTCTCCGCTACGAAGATGACTTATTTAAAGGGTTTTCTAGGCTTCTGAGAAGAAGGAGAAGGATGAGAAGGAGAAGAGGATGAGAAGAAGAAGGATGAGAAGAAGAGAATGAGAAGGATGAGAAGAAGGAGAAGGAGAAGGATGAGAAGAAGGAGAAAGGAGAAGGATGAGAAGAAAGAGAAGGATGAGAAGAGAAGGATGAGAAGAAGGAGAAGGATGAGAAGAAGAAGGATGAGAAGAAGGAAAAGGATGAGAAGAAGAAGGATGAGAAGAAGGAGAAGGATGAGAAGAAGGAGAATGATGAGAAGAAGGAGAAGGATGATAAGAAGGAGAAGGAAGAGAAGAAGGATGAGAAGAAGGATGAGAAGAAGGAGAAGGATGAGAAGAAGGACAGTTCTGTGACAGTTTCTGTCTATTTCTGACAGTTCTGGGACATTCACCTCCATACAGCGGTTTCAACCGCTGTATGGAGAAGGAATGTCATAGAACTGTCAGAAATAGACTATTAATGACAGTTTCTGGGGACTGATCCTTCCATGCAGCGGTTGAAACATTGTATGATATTTGTTTCCATAAAATGAATGAAGGACTCCATTTATGGAAACAAATACATACAAATGTTTCAAACCGCTGCATGGAAGGACAGTCCCCCAGAACTGTCATTAATAGTCTATTTCTGACAGTTCCATGACATTCCCTCCATACAGCGGTTAAAACAGCTGTATGAAGGTGAATGTCCCAGAAACTGTCATAAAAAGTCCTGAAGATTTTCTTCCCTACAGATCTGGGACATTCACTCCAATACAGCTGTTTTAAAAGGAGAAGAAACCGCTGATGGAGGGAAGGTCATGGGAATTGAGTCAAGATGAAGGGGACTTATTAAGGAGAACTGACAAGATGGTGAGAAGACTAGTCCTTCCAGTACAGCGGTCGTCTCGATGAACAAGGGTATGTGTATTTTCTTTCCAAGGATGAGAAATGGATCCCTTTAGGATGAACAAAATAGAAGGAGAATGTTTTTCAGACCTGCTGCATGAGAAGATCAGAAGACAGTCCCAGAACTGTTCTTAGAAGAAGTCTATTTCTGACAGGATCCATGACATTTTCCCTCCATTACAGCGGTTAAAACATCTGAGATGCAGAATTCCCAGAACTCACTTTCATAGAATAGTCTATTTCTAGACAGATCTGATTTGACATTCTCACATCCATGATGTAGTTTAATGGTAAAGGAAAAGTATGGAGAAAGAATTCTCCGTCATGGAAGAAGATTGTCCAGAAATAGGACTATTAAGGATGACTCCTCCTTAGTTTTCAGGGACTCCTCCTTCCCCTGCAGGAGCGGGTTGAAAAACATTGTATGTATTTGTTTTCATAAATGGATCCATTTTGCTGGAAACAAATACATACAATGTTTGTAGTCAACTTGTTTCGGCATGAAAATGGAGAAGGATGAGAAGGATGAAGGACAAGGATCCCATATTTTTATATGTTAGAACCTGTACGTCATTAATAGTCCCAAGAACTTTCCATTAGTAAGGTATACAGTTCCATGACATTCCCCTCCATACAGCGGTTGAAATTGAAAAACAGCTGTATGCAGTGAGGTCCCAGAAATGTGAAGGACTGTCATAAATAGTCTATTTCTGATGAGAGATCTGGGACATTCACTCCATACAGCTGTTGTTTAAACCGCTGTAATGGAGGGAATGTCATGAACTGACAGAAATAGACTATTAGGATGACAGTTGTGGGAGAACTGGATCCTTCCATGCAGCGGTTGAAACATTGTATGTATTTGTTTTAGAAGGCCATAAATGGATCCATTTATGGAAACAAATACATACAATGTTTCAACCGCTGGTATGGAAGGACAGTCCCAGGAACTGTCATTAATAGTCTATTTCTGACAGTTCCATGACATTCCCTCCATACAGCGGTTGGAAAACAGCTGTATGGAGTGAATGTCCCAGAACTGTCATAAATAGTCTATTTCTGACAGTTTCTGGGACACATCACCCACTGTGACCCTCCCAACACAAAGCGGTTTTCCGGAATAAAAAGGAACTGTGTAAGTGCAGATTCCTCTCTAATTCTGCAGATACTACTTAGAGGAGCTCTGCAGATACAAGTAGAGGGAGTTCTCTGCACATACACATTTTTCCGGTTTTCTGGAATTATTTCTTATTTTCATCCTACTTTCTTCTTCTTCATCCTCCAGAATCCTCTTCTTCTTCTGAGGATGAGGATGAATGGAAAAGAAGAAGAAGGAGAAGTAGGAACCTGAAAAATAAGATTAATGACAGTTCCAAGCCGGCAAAAAGTGTATGTCCAGAGCGGTCCTCTTGTTAGTGTATCTGCAGAGCTCCTCTAAGTGTATCTGCAGAATAGAGGAACTCTGCACAACACTTTTTTGCCGGCTTGGAATTATTCTTCTTTTCATCCTACTTCTTCTTCTTCTTTTTCCTGACATCCCTCAGAAGGAGAGAAGAAGAGGAAGAGGAGAAGGATTGAGGAAGAAGGAGAAGATGAAAGAGGAAGAGGAAGGGAAGAGGAAGAGGAAGGATCTGCAGGAAGAGGAATAGATGAGAAGAGGAAGAGGAAAGCGTGACGATATGAAGAGGAAGAGGAAGAAGACTAAGAGACAGAGGAAGAGGAAGAAAAGAAGGAAGAGGAAGAAGAATTGTATGAAGAAGAGAGAAGATGGAAGAAGAAGAAGAAGAAGAAGAAGAAGAGAAGAAGAAGAAGAAGGAAGAAGAAGAAGAAAGTCAAGAAGAAGAAGAAGAAGAAGACAGAAGAAGACAATCCTCCCATAGAAGAAGAAGACAGAAGAAAAGAAGTGAATGAAGAAGAAGAAGAAGAAAAGTAACTAAGAAGAAGAAGAAGGAAGAATTCCCGTCAGAAGAAGAAGAAAGGTTTTGTCCGGGCGGAAAAAGAAAGAAGAAGAAGAAGAAGCAGAAGAAGAAGAAGAAGAAGAAGAAGAAGAAGATAAGAAGAAGGGAGAAGAAGAACTGAAGAAAGAAGAAGAAGAAGAAGAAGAAGAAGAAGAAGAAGAAGAAGAAGAAGAAGAAGGAAAGAAAAGAAGAAGAAGAAGAAGAAGAAGAAAAGAAGAAGAAAGTTTCTGTGAAGAAGAAGAAATTTCAAGAAGAAGTAGAAGAAGAAGTTCAAGAAGACAGAAGAAGAAGAAAAGAAGAATCTAGGGAAGAAGAAGAGAGAAGAAGATAGATCTCTGAAGAAGAAGAGAAGAAGAAACGAACAGAGACACATTTGTTTTCCGCAAGAAGAAGAAATAAGAAGAAGAAGAAGAATACATACACTCTTGGAATTCTTCATCCTACTACCTTCCTTCTTCAAGAAAGAAGAAGAAGAAGAAGAAGAAAGAGAAGAAGATGAAGAAGAAGAAGAAAAGAAGAAGAATGAAAATAAGAAGAAAAAGAAAAGCCGAAGCAAGAAGAAGTATGAAGAAGAAGAGCTCCTCTAAGAAGAAGAAGAAGAAGAAGAAGTATAATGAAAAGAAGAACTAATTCCATGCCGGCAAAAAGTGTATGTTGCAGAGTTCCTCTATTTCTGACAGTTCTCTCACCATCCTCTTCTTCTTCTTCTGACATGTACAGCGGTTGAAATATCTGTATCCTAAATGGAGAACTAATAGATACAATAAGTATCTATTATTTTTCCATTTAGGAACAGATGTTTCAACCGCTGTAGCACCTGTAAGAAGCTGTGAGAGAACTGTCAGAAATAGAGGAACTCTGCACATACACTTTTTGCCGGCTTCTTTTCATCCTACTTCTTCTTCTTCTTCTTCTTCTTCTTCATCCTCATCCTCATCCTCAGGATCTTCTTCTGAGGATGAAGAAGAAGAAGAAGTAGGATGAAAAGAAGAATAATTCCAAGCCGGCAAAAAGTGTATGTGCAGAGTTCCTCTATTTCTGACAGTTCTCTCACAACTTCTTCACATGTACAGTGGTTGAAACATCTGTATCCTAAATGTAAACTAATAGATACAATGTTTCAACCGCTAAACATGTGTTCCTTCTGTCAGAGAACTGTCAGAAATAGCGGAGCTCACTGCAGGGACACTTTTGCCGGCTGATCGGGAAATGTTCGATTCGCGCACCCGAAGTAGGCAAAATTTCGGTTTCGACACGAATCGAATATTTCCTGAAATTCGACTCGAATTCCGGTTCGCCTAGTTCGATTCGCTCATCTCTAGTATCCATAGGCTAACATTGAAGGAGTTTAAATGCTTCAAATATTATCTACTGCATAGGAATTTGAGGAGTGTTGAAAAACAACCCTCAAATGTCTGCTTGTATGCCCTTTTTGGAAAGTAGGCAGTCCGAGGTATTTAGCAGGAGGCATGGTGAGTTTTTTGAAGTTGTAATTTGTCCCAATATTTTTGTAAAGAAATTAAATAATTTGTTTTTTTTCCCCCACATACTATCACAAGAGCAGTACAGTGTCATCATATAACTTGTGTGGGGGTGATCATGGATACTGACTGGTGACAGTATGTTAAGAACAGCAGT